GCCATAATACCAAGTGTTAATGAAAATAATGTGTATAGCCATTGGCAGAGATTAAACCTGTGCATGAGATTTTGAGAAACTATTTGTCAGCATCCATCAAGTGGCTACAAATATTTGTCTCCACTGGTAACCTTTAGTAAGTTATGATAAACAAATGGCCATATATGCAGAACATGTGTATTTACATTCAGTTCCTTAACTAAGAAAATCTAAAACCACCAAAGTTTGCTTGGAAGCCATGTGTACATCCTTGAAAACAATGTCAAGGGAATCAGTAAAATGTTTAATGTCTGAGGTAAAAAAAGAATGGAGCACAAAAATCCAGTGATTGTCACTATATCTAATAGTCACAGGTACAAATTGAAAGTATCTATGATGACCTAGGCATGGTGACACATGCCTTTAATCCTAGCACTAGAGAGGCAGAGGTAGGCAGATCTCCTTGAGTTCAAGTCCAGCCTGCTGTACCCAGTAAGGAAAAACAATGAAAAAACACTTTTTTCTCTATTTCTTTATTTCTAATTTTTGGTATTGATTATGTAAATTCTTTTAATCAAATTTATTTTCAATTTTATCTGAAATTTAGTTTAGCAACATAACTATGCACTTTTCAATATAATTTTACACAATAGGCTACCAATTCAACCTTAGTGAACAATGCATCATCCTTCTGTTACCTTGTCAATGGCACACAACTCAGTCCTCCTTAGAAGTTAGACCCAAATATGTCTTGCTACCAATAAAAAGTTCCAAAATAAAGGAGAATCAATAGTGAAAATCTAAAACATACAACATACTTGGATGGTCTGTGGCATCTTTGGTTAAAGTGTGTATGCTGGCAGACTTATTGGCTTCTGTGCCAATCCAGGTTTATAACAGCAGTGCACAATAGAGGATACACATTAGAATTTAGAATAAGAATGGATAAACTACTGTATAAATAATGGGTACTACTAGATGAAAAGAAGACTAAAAAAGTATTAGCTACAAGCAAAATTATCTAGAAGTAACAGAAGCCTCTGTTACTAATGGCCAGATTAGGGCTAATGCCTATCCATAGGCAGGGCAAACAGTGGTGTTTGCTACTTAAAATACCATTGCAAATAATACTTGAACAGCTCTTACTTATGAGTAATTACTCTGGCCCAAGTCCTGTCTTGAATGTTTTGCATGCATTGTCTCAGTACAGGTCAGAAAAGCCTCTACAGTGTTAATATAGACCCCATCGTTGGCATTCATATATCCACAAGATGAAAGCTTTCCCCCCTGTAGCCTGTGTTCTTTATCAGGACAATATTCATAACTACCAGAAGCATCATAAAAAATGAAGCTACAGAAGGAAAGATGCCATTTGAGAGCTTGGAAAAGAAAGCAAAAATAAGAGGGAGACCAAGAAAGAAGACTTACAGAAGTTAAACAACAGATGATTGTGGTGTCTACAACTGAAGTGGGGGAGGGGCGAGGAGGAGAAAACCATGGAAAATGGCAGCCAGAATGGAAGAAAAATGGCCACCATGCTAATAAGCAGAAAGCAAATGCTCTTCCTGTAAAACAGGGAGTTTGCCAGTGACTTAGAAGGTTCTAGGACATGATGCAGAACATAGGCAATTTGCATATAGAAAAAGTAGCATTAGACTGGAGACATCAAGGGATTAGATGGATACATACAAGGCAAGTGGGTTATTTATGGCAGAGAATAGAACATGCTAATGGGGCTGGGGGTGCTGGTAATACATGTGCCATGAAAAATGCGTCCAATTCACTGTGACTCTTACTGTGGGTATTGGAGTTGCAAGAGATTTGAAGAATGAGAAAATGAACTTGGAGAATGCCCCAGGGACCAATGATGACTTCATATTTGCTGATTTTTGGTGGGGAGTGGGAATATGGTTAAGGCAATTTCGTGGAATGTTCTTACTTGTAGAAATCTAGTCTATCTTTCACCTACCTCTCTAGTTAGCTACATAGAGCACAAGAAAGACTATATGGCATAAACAAGATCTAGTCATCACCTGTGTTAGAAAACTGAATCATTCTGGTGTAAAAATACAGAAACACTACCACATCATAATGGAGCCAGCATTCCCCAAAGTAGCCCTCAATTCTGCCATCTACTGACAAACAGATGCACCTCAAATCGTCGTAGCACCTACGTGATAATTTGCCATGATGACAGGTTTTGGGGGGATACCTTTGAGATGGCTTAGAACATTCAGTGTGATAACTATAAAACAATATAGATTATAATGGCCTGGTCAGTTTGGTGTTGCTGTGAGAATACACAGACCAACGTAAAGACCACAGAGGAATGCTGCTTACTGACTGCCTCTCTCTGGCTAGCGCCTTTCTTTTACAGTGTAAGCCCTCCTGAGTAGGGATGGTGCTTCTCACAGTGGGCTGGGTACTCCTGCATCCATCTCTGGCTATCTCAGCTACCTTTCTTTCATAGCCTAAGCCCCACCCCCTGAATAGGGAAGGTACTGCCCACAGTGTGTTGGTCACTCCTGTATCAATTAGAAATAATGGAATCCCAACAGACATTTGAACAGATAATTGTAGTTTGTGTCAACTTGGAAAAATTTAATTAGCAGAAATGTTTTTTCAGAAAAGTATTTCTTTGTCTAGCCAGATATTAAAACACATAAATATATAAGGTCAGGCAGCATAGGACTAAGTTGTGATGAGGTTTCCACATGCATAATCTTCCAAAGAGACTCAAGCTATGGATTGAATATCAGTTGTATCTCTGCTTATTCACAGCCTATTAAATACCCAGTCCCACAGTGGAAACGTGAATAATTTTTTTGTTTTGGATTTTTGAGACAGGGTTTCACCGTGTAGTCTTGGCTATCCTGGAACTCACTCTCAAGACCAGGCCTCAAACTCATAGAGATCCACCTGCCTCTGTCTCCCAAGTGCTGATATTAAAGGTGTGTGCCACCACTACCCAGCCATTCACAGATTTTAAAGAGCAGCTTCAGCAAAAACCTAGGAGTCAACTCTCTTATCCTTTCCTGGAATACTATGAGGCTCAAATTCTAACAGAATAAAACACTCTGCAAATCAGATAAGCAGGCAGTCAGGGTGACAAAATTCAATACCATCAACTCCCTCTGGGATATTAGAATAACATCTTGGAAACCAAAAATTAATTCTGAAAAAAACAACAACAAACAAACAAATGAACAAGTGAATTACCACAGCACACATGGTTGCTAATATCAACACTATTTAAATTTCTTACAGGGACCAATAATTATGGAGAACTGCAGAGCATGTAGTTTGGAGAGAGGCTGCTGTGTGTGCATGCAGAGCAGGTTTTGGTAAGAGAAGAGCTGAAATTCCTGAAAGATTTTAAGCACACTATTTGCTCCTTCTGAATCTCAATTTTTTTGATTTATAACAATGGAAAGGCTATCATCAGGAAATGCATCATGCCAGGCAGTGATGAAAATGAATATATAAACATCTTTTTATAAAAAAAGTCCAAATACATCTGAAATATCACATCAGCACAGATTTATATAATTCACAAGAAAAATCTGCCCTAGAAATTGTATCAAAACTACCTCCAATGGCCATACCAGTACCAGTCCTGCATCCTGAAAAGTGGGTGGGTCCTCTTCAGACCCCTCAGTGTAGCTAGCTGTAAGTTACCACATGAATACATTTAATTCCAAATAAGCAAGATACAAGAATGTGCACAGCATTGTGCACCAATGAGTCAATAAAATAGTGCAGGTAAAACATGTATTAATGTGATGCATGCTCCACTTCGGGCAGCAATGGTCGATCTGCACCATGACACCAAAAAACGTGGGATAAGACCCCAGAATGCATTCAGAATGATTTTGGAATAGATTGATTTCTGTGCATTCCAAAAGCATTATTCCATGTGGGGGTTGTTACTCTGAGTTTCTCTTTCCTGGCTTTCCCCACTAATGAAGAATTTGATTCTATTTCGCCCCTCCCACCCAGTACTTGCAGATTGCTTGTGAAGGCCAAGGCAGTCCTCTCAACAGCAAGGAAACCGGGCTGGCTGCGCAGGAGCTATATATAGCTCCACCTTGGCGATGTGCACACGCGGGCACACGTACAGATGCCCATGCGAGATTTGGCATGGAAAACGGGACATTCAGAAATGGCTACACCTCTCACTTGCTTCTTTCCCACCATTCCTTCTTTTTTTTTTTTTCCAGGAATTTTTCCCAGCAGGGTGTCTGATTTCCCTGCAATTCTTCTCCTTACTGCTACCAGCAATCTGATCCCAGCAAGAACCGGCACTGGGCCAAAATCTGGTCGACCCCAGGCAGAATGCTTTGGGTCCATCCTGACCCCGTCATTTGACTAGATGAAGTGGTAGTTCCCCATAGGAAACAGTGGGGCAGGCGGGAAGCTGCTTCCCTGCCCTGCCCAGTCTGCAGCACCTCATGGAGGAGGGACCCTGGCTTTTTCGCAGATGGATTAATCAGAAAACGCCTGGATTCTCCCCAACCCCCAAGCCAGAAGGGAGCTAGTTCTTAGCCTGGGGACGCACCAGCCCTTACCTCCCTTACTGCAAGCACCCGCAGTAAGCGCTGCACTAGAGGGTACCCCGCAGGTGCGGGGGAGGGGAGCAGGCGGTGCCTGGCATGCGGAGCAGTTGAGATGCAGAGAGGACCTGCGGTTCAAGCAGCTGGCACGTCTGCGCCCCCAGCCCCCAACCTTGTAGACAGGGCATACCCCAGGCCGGACCCCGCAGGCAGCTGCAGCGTCTACAAGGAAAGTTGCCCGGACGCATTGCCCTTCAGACCCCTCTCAACCCTTCCGATGTGTCGCCCCGGTTCCAGCATCCCGACCGACCACCTCCTCCACCCCATCTTCTGATAGGTGCCATGGGTGTTGCAGTGACAGCAACAGCGACCCCGGGAGCCGGGGTAACCAGGGCGGGGCAGGGGCTTGGTGGCCTCTGGGAAGCACGCCTTCCTTGAGCTCTTCAGAAGGGCGAGCCTGCCTCCTACCTGTTCCCCTCTCCTGTCGCCGCCGCGCTGCCGGGCCCTACAGCTTTCCCGCTCCCGCCGCAAACAGCTGGGAGCGCATCTCCCACCGGAGCCACTCCTCGCTTAGGCGGAGCCCACCTCAGCTACTTGACAGCAGAAGCCGGGGCCTCAGAGTGCAGTTATTGGGGCCGCGGGGAGAGGGAGGCGGGGACGGGAGAGAAACCTGCAACTTTGATTGGACCGAAGAGATGTCATTCTCAACTCCAGGGTTTCTGTGGACTCTCCTAGCTTCTGAATCCTGCAAGTCCCAGGTTCCAAAACCTTCTGTTTCTTGGTCAGAGGTCTTTGGAGGAGGGAAACTGCCTTGAGGATCCGTCATTAAAGGCTACAAGAGGGAGGGAGGATCAGACAAAGCCAGACCCCTGGAACACTTGAAGATTTAACCAGGGACACCACCAGGGGCAAAGACTCAATATGGAGCAAGGACTTTAGTGAAGAAACAGAAAACAAGATACACAATTAAGTGGGGGGAGAAATCACAGAGATATCAGAACTGGGGATTTTGTTTCATTCCAATTTCCAATCATTACCTAAGTATGTCACAGAAGTTTTCCTTATATCAAAAACCAGAAAATCTTTATTACGTTTGACCAAAATTTGCCCACATAGGATCCAGTATTTTAAACGGGAAGAGACTATAAAATAAACTTCCAGAGGACAGCAAACTGAGGCATTTGCTGTGGGCAGTTCCCTTGGCGACTAGTTCTTAAAATAATAGCCACCATACTGACTGATAACCAACCTCGTGTTCTCGAGTCTGAATACACAAAACCGGACAGCCAGATGATTTTGAGACTGCTTTTAAGAGGCAGAATGTCTTTGTGTGCCTGCGCCCTCTCTCCTGTCTATTCAGGCAGAACCAGAGAGCTGTGAAACACGAGGGACCCCTTAGTGGAAGAGCAGGAGAGACTGTAAAAAAAAAAAATAGAGTGTGTGTCTTCTCAGTAGCTACCGAGGACACAAGCTACCCTCTTCCTCCATATAGCCCAAATTGTCTTCCACCTATGTCACTTAGTCGCCCGAGCGTAAGGGAGAATTCATGCTCATGAGTTCGTGGAAGCCCACCCTCCCAACTGTTGGGAAAGCTGATGCTACCAAATGCTAAGCGCAGACACTCAATGTTCAGAGTTTTTAATGCCGTCAGGTCTATCTTGTCATACTCTCTTCACAACACTGGAAGACTCAATGTGTACTGAAGAGGAAAGGGACTCAGGGGTTAAAAAGAACAAGAGATGTGCTCTGTATGCCAGGAAACCTCTTGCCATTGCTGCAAATGTCAAAGCCTCCAGTCATGCTTCACCATAACATGCCCATTAGTCTTGTACCTTCATCCCCAGTACACTCCAGTTTTCCCACTGCACAAATTTCCTGGATCACTGTACACTTGTCCTGTGCCACAGTCTCTGCGAGGTAGACCAGAACACTCAGCAAGAATGAGATGTAAAACTTGCAGCAGGAGTCCAGGAGGACAAAATTAGCAAACAGTTTAGTACGGGGCATGCTTTCAATATTGGTATCTCTTGATTGCTCAATAAGTCTCAATTAGCTAGGCTTTGTGCTGCCTTCCAATGTGCTCTCCTCCAGAAAAGAGAAAGCATAGACTGAAATGAAATGAAAGAAAAAAGAAAAACCAAAAAAATCACGGAGCAGTCAAGGTCACAAGAGCATGAACAGAATACTGAAAACCCTACCATGTCATCGTCTTACTCCTCCATTCATTCCCTTAACAAGTACTAGTATTGTAAATGCTGTTGGGGAGGGTGAGATAAGATAAACACCTGTCATGAAGTTCTTTTTCTTTTCTTCAAGCATACAGTGCTGGTTGTGCATATCTTCATCTAATGAACATAAGCACATACACACAAAGAATCATGGATAGCATTCAGATTATTTCTATCTCATCAGGCTCATATACTTTCAAGTAAAACAGACCTTTACTGGGTTTTGTAATGGCTTTTCTCAGAGAGCAAAATCTGTACATCTGTTCATAGCATACCTGTACTTCTATTTACATAAAAACATTAACAATGCCTGCTGCACAGCAGTTTGTCTTTTCCAAATCACTTTCACACACTCTGGGCTCTGCGCTGTTACAATTATGAGCTTAAGTGTAACAGTAATAGATGTGCAACAGGAAAGATTCTCATGTCTGTGAACATCTAAATACAAGTAGAGCCCAGATCATAAGACTAAACAGTCGTTACTTTTTTCCACTCCATAACTTTATCTGGTATGAGTTCTGTACATCTCTCGCCTTTTCTCCTCCTGGTATCATCTACATATTGAAGTTGTTTAAAACAATTAAACTGGTATATTCCTCTTGCCACATTTATGAAACATATGAAAGTATGTACTTGCTTTAGAGATTATTCAAGACACAATCAGTACCTAAGTTTGTGGTCTCTTCATGACATTGTGATCACAGCTAATGGGTCTGATACTGAGGCATGAAGAAAGCTGAGGAGAAATGAGTAGCCCAGTGTGCAGGTTTGCTTTGATGACTGTTTTCCTCACTGGCTGAAGGAGGGAGCTGTTGAGACATGGTCTGGATTGCCTCACCCTGGCAACCTGGTGGATAACATAGCTGGACATCTTCCAAAGACACAAGGCACTTCTGCTTTCCCACAAAATGGTTTCAAGCTCCTAAGCAGTCACAGAGTTTTTACCTTCTACTTCCTGAGGCATAACATTGCTCAGCTGATCTCCATTCTGCTCGACTCCCTCACACCCCACGGTCCTCTCCTTTTTTCACACCGCACTGGCCATCATTCTTCCAATTTCCTCCAACCACTGATTGAATCTTGGAGAGAGTTAAGGAAACCACAACAGGGTGAAAGCTTTCCCTAGGGTGCTCTCCCTTCCTCTGTCCTCTGCTCCACCCACCAATCCCTCACTCTGGAGCTTCCCAGGAGAGCAATTCCCAGCACACAGCCTGATCTGACAAAGAAGAGGGGAGTAGGGAAAGGCATGTTTTTTTTTTCAATCAAAATTCAAAGCTTCACTCAACACATCAGTACAGCAACAGATGTTCTGTCTACTCATTTGAGGAGTCCTGCTAAGCACAGCCTGCAGCTTCTCCTCAGTCTGCAGTGTCTCAGATCTGATCAGCCTACTGACCTAGGTTTTCAGAGCCAACTGGGAATTCAGCAAGGAGATGCACATAGCTGGAAGGATGCAAGCCACACCCAGGAACACACACACACACACACACACACACACACACACACACACTGTGAATGTGAGGTGCTGGGGAAGACAACACCACCAAAATGGTTTTCAAATACGGGATGCTGGAATTCCTGATCAGCATGCTTGCCACCTGGAGCCACTGGGATCCAAAAGACAGACTTTCAGAAAGGCCACCTGCTTTCATTACTACACCATTTTAACACAGCTGCCCTGGTTTGACAATAGTCTACTGATTTCTTGTTTTACTGTTCTCATATCTCTATTAGAAATCAATGTATAATGCAATAAATGACCTGTTACCTTTTAGTCAAACCCCTGTCCTCAAAAGTCTTACGGCTCACAGATCTTATGGGAAAGGGCTACAGGGTAATTTAGTGTCAAGTTGTGGCTTTAGTCTTTGTTGTCCCCCCAAGAGTTGGCGGTCAGATGCTGTTAACTGACTCTGACTCTCATCCACAATTAACACACTCTTTCCCTCCATTTCAGCTGCCACTTTAGACACCATACATCCTGTTTTCATAATAGCTCTTCAAAATAATGGATACTTCTACTATGTGTAATAGACGTAGAACTGAATATTTGTAGTTACTCATTTTTTATGCTGCTAGCAGAATTCCTGAATGTAGGTGATTCATGAAAAGCAGGTATGGATGTTGTAAAGCCCTAACCTTGTATCTGGGGAGGGCTTTCATGCAAAGAAGGGGTAAAACCAGCAGGAGGGGGTAAAGTTGCACCAACTAACCTCCAATTGAGCCCACATGCATTGTGACTCATCCTGTAGCTACAACAAAACATCGGACAAGAGCAACTTAAGGACAACAGTTTATTTTGGCTTGCAGTTTAGGGGTGTTGTAGTTTAGCAGCAGTGAGCACAAACCCACAACCCACGTTGGAAGTTTATTGATAGGGTGTGCAAAGAGGTGGTTCATGGAAGCCTTGCTCAGAGAGAGAAGTGCGGGAGGAGGGGCGGGGAGACAGAGCATGAAACAAGAGGAACTCAATTTTAAAGGGGCTTTAGCGCATATGTACAGAGGTTTTGTAGCCACGCAGTACATACGCATAGCAGAAGGCCCTGGGCTGACTATTTGCCTAAATACTGACAATGCATACCAAGCCATAGAACCCTGGGGTTGGCTGGGTGCAAAATGCTAACAGGGGTTATAATCGGTCATGGTAGAGAAGTCATAAGGACAGGTACTCAAGGTGCCTGGTCACATGCTACCCCAGTACAGAAGCAGAGAACTCAGCTCATTATCTGCTTATTCAGTCCAGGCACAGCCCATGCAATGTTACCGCCTGTGTTTCAGATGCTCTTCCTGCCCCCAAAGAACCAAGTTCTAGATAGGCTCCCAGACCTTTGCCATGAGATGTGTTTCCATAGCAATTCTAAATCCTATTAAACTGACAATGAAGATTAAGTACCCTCAATGACTGACCTAGTCCTGCAGGACAGTGTCAGTCCATTCCTGGGAGTTGCCCCTGCACATCTTGCCTTTAGTGGCTCTTAATGATTCTGTATGCCCTAGAGGTTGGGTTTCCAACACTGTGAACTTGGGGAGCACATTCCAGTCACAGTTCTTTTTTTTCCCTTCCAGACTAGGGGATGGGGAAATCATTGTGAACTTCAATTTCCTGTGTCTTAAATGAGGGATAATTACATAGTAATCATATTTAAAGCTGATGGCTAGGAGGGCAGCATCAGTATCTTTCCCCAAATATCCAGTCCTCTCTTCACATGATTCATATTTATGATCCACTTTCCATTGGAATCTTGATGATCTTTAGCCCATTTCCCTCATTTTCCATGGCATTTAGGAAAATGTCTATCATTCCATATATCAATTTGGACTTGCTAACTTTGTGTAATACATATTTGGTTTCTATGTTACTTGCTTAGATTTGATTTAATAGCCTT